ATGTACATATAATTACATGTGTCAATGCCATTGGATACATGCTCTCTCTGTTATCCCTCTGACAAGGTGCATTGTGATTGAAAGCTGTTCTGCCATCTGTGCTGTGTACTGTTGCTTGGCTTCATTGTACATTATCGTCTGAAAGTACACAAAGATGTATGTAATTAATATGAAAAATGCCTCATTAATGTGCCGCTTCACATAAGGATCCCCTCAACTCACCCGCAGCTGCAATGTAATCTCCTAGAAGTGGCTGTTCGTTCTATGAACTTAATTGTGAATATTGCGATTCAGAATTGACATTTCTTTGCACCAAGAACGGCAACTTTATCGCAGATTTAGACTCTGTGAGTGTGCACCTCTGTGTCTGTCCACATCTAATCTCGCATTCTGCTGCATTACATTGCATACTATTTTGGATTGTCAGTTATGCCAAATCTAAACACCTTTCTTGGCTGGTTACACTGCCTGCTGACTCCTCACTACCCCAGCCTCTAATCTGTGCCCAAAGTGTTTTGGACGGTGTGTTTGGAAATCAGCAAACAGAACTACTAGTACACACACACTGCTGAGTACATCGCTGCCGCTGCTATCCGGGCACACAGCTTGGTGAGTTCAATTTTGCTTTTGGCAAGATGAATTCAAGCAGATTGCCTGCATTCATCTGCGCTTGTTTTTGAGTTTTAATGAAATGTCTTTAAGGGCACCTTACAGCCCATTAGTGTCTAGACAGGGGGGTTAGTTAACCGACTGTGGGTTGTATTCGTTCAATCACACAATACAGAAGTGCTCATTGCAGACACACCTGACGGAGTTCACCTTTCTAGTTTAGTTTTAGTTTTGGAATCAAAAACTCAGCTCCTCTGCTTCATCAGGGTTGTTTCGTGGTTTGATCACATTTGATTGACAATGGCCTGGCACCATGAACATGATGACATTTTGATTTAAATATTTCTAAATCCAGACTGGTGTACGGAATTGTTCGTCACTTCAGGAGTGAGAGGAGCGTAGATGAAATTAGAGATTGAGAGTCTTTTATGTGACATATCTGAAACTCTTGTGTTATTGTATGAACCCATCACTCGTAGTTAAAAGCTAATTGTAGAAAAAGTATTCAGGGCCTTAAACTCTCACCACCAGACTGACAGAATAATTGGAGATCAGATTTACTCAGTGATGAGTGATGATCTTTGATTCTGGTTTGGAAAGTTCAATGCAGAGTTCACATCATAGAAAAATACCTTTTCAGGTTGACAAGGGAGTCAATGCCAAAACAGCTGTCAATAGAATAATGTTTTGAATGCTAATGAGGGAAATTGCTGACTATCCATGTTCTGATCTGTCAGTGAATTGTATTCCCTGTTGGTGCACCTTGCCAGCTTCCTTCAATCAATAAGCCAGTAGGCATGCACCCCCCTCTCTGACTCGAGGATAAATGTGTCATCCATTGTGAGTTGCACCACGCACCCTTGTTCGCATCACAGTGAGGTGACTGTACCGTTGTCCTGCCATTACAGCATCAGCAGCCTTATTTACATCCATCCCACCCACACATTGCTGCAGCTCATTGGGGATTTAGGACTTTGTCAATAATGCCTATTGCAGTGTCGGTGTGCTGCCTAATTACCAAATGACTCTCGCTCAAAAATGGTTTGTTTCCAGTCTGTTTGCCTTGCTTTATGTTTGCATGGCCACTTGTGAGTTCACCGTCGCCAGTGGTACATGGCTGAGAGACACTTGGATGACATGGCATGAAAGCAGCATATTTATGAACATGTCTTATTTTTTATATGGCTGATTTTACATCTTGCTTCCTTGACTTGTTCCACAGTTCAACTACAACCCAATACTAGATGGCACTCAGTAAAGCATATACTTTTCTGTACCGTCTCAGCAAATGCTATGCAGCTGTCAAATGTGCCAGTTCCACAAGTCAGATTTTCAGCCACAGATGAGAGGTTTTTTTTCCATGGCCCATTAACAACCTATTTCACATCAGGAGATGCACACTTCTGTGACTGTGCCTAAAATGGGACATCAGTAATGCACATTCGTATTCCAGGAACTCTTGAGCTGCAACACTGTTCAGCAAATCAGTCCTGTTCGGTGTCTATTTGGACAGCAGAGCAGTGGCCCTTCTATCACTGCACTGGGCTTTGGGAAAATTGGGAGTGAATTTAATGACTTCACTGTTTAAGTTTGTCAATAATGGAGGAATTGTTTCTTCTCATATCTGCTAATGGGGAGAGTGTGTGATGGTGTGAATATTTATGGTGTATAGATTCTATTGAGAAACCAGACCTGCTGCCACACACACAAAGGAAGCTATGCTCCAGTGTCTGAACATCAGTTTTGGTATATTTACTTTTGACTTGCTTATTAAATTTGAAGTGTTGGATTGTTTACTGAATCAACAATTAGACTCTTGTATAAACATATTCTGACTTCAATGTTGTACTTTGTTACAATGTCATAGGCACTTCATCAGCACCGGATTTGAAACCATACAACTCTTATTAATGTAACACTAATAAATTAGATTTACAAAGACTTTTGTCAAACATAGTTTTTAGTAATGCAAAAGACAAGACCGATACAAAAAAATACAACAGTAAAAGGCAATAATAAAAGATTAAAAAGCATTCCTGTTTGCCTTTGTTTTCAGAGCTGTGGATGTTCTTTTAGCTTTTTCTCATATTTGTCAGTGACATCAAGATCTTTTCCTTTGTGTCATTGACCATATACAGAGGAGAGCAGCTGGTGGCTGTGGGAAAGTTATTACTCCGTAGCGCTTAATATATTTAATTTTTTAATGCTGGGAGTGCTGCTTTTAGTGAAGCATAGGGTGTAGCCCCCTTCCCAACCCAGTAACTTTCACCCAGTCCCTTAAGCAATAGTTGTTAGAAACGTCAAGGTGAAATCCACCCATTTACCTCAGGAATAGGCTACTTGTTCATATGAGAAGTTGTATGACGTCTTTTGTGGCTCCAGAGGGAGCGGCTTGACGTTGCTCAAGTGACGTAACATGAGTCATCATCCGTTGGGGACAAAAACTACAAGATTGTAATCCAAAGATTTCTGAGGGTTGAGAGTTAGAAAGAAGTGAGTTTACCAGACATCTGTAACTTGCTCCCCATCTTTACTGGAGGCTATAAGTCAACGCCACAATAAACACTACCAGCCTAGCCATTACAGCTTGTGGTGGAGTTGCATTGTGGGTAATTTGGGCACCAGTTGTGACAAGGAAGAAAAAAATGCATAGGATAAAAAAGACCATATCTCTATTTTTGCTGCATCTTGACATCACGTAAAGCACAGAGTGTTCCTTGTTTTTAAGTGATAGCATGTATTTTTCAGATCAACCTTCTATCCATTTGTCAGCAGAGACAAACTCCTGAAAGGCGAGATCAGAACCGTCATTCAGCCAACACGTTTGGAGAATAGCAAATAGCCAAATCCACATTCTACATAGCCTTATGCTTGTCCCAGAGGGCTTATGAAAAATGTATATCACTCTCAGCCTGCATTACCAGACACTAATAAACCAACAAATTTCCATTCTGGCCACATTTAATGGAATGTTGCTTATGGGTACCACTTCATTGAGTCCCACTTGAAGCATGCTGATTTCATTTTTTATCAATAATGGGTCATAAATTACTCAACGCATAGCTGACTGTATTGTATGCAAATTGCATCAGTGATAATGCACTGGGATATGGAGAATCTAACACCGTGTTTGTGCATACAACGGTGTAATTCATTCACTGTTATTCCTGAGGCTATAAACATTACCGTGGATACCTTGTTGCTGCTGGTGATTTCTAAGCAATAAAGCCCGTGTGTGTGTGTGTGTGTGTGTGTGTGCGCATTTGTAATCCAAGAGCAATGCAACAACAACAAAAAAACACCCCCAGTTTTCCATCATGGGAAAAGAATCCCTCAACTTATTTTCCTCCCATCCTGCTTGTACGTGACGCGATGCTTCAATTTTCAGAGCAATTCGATTTCGAGCAATATGGTTGCATGTGGATGGGCTGCTCTTCAGTATCTCTCTGGAGCCTCTGCACTGTAAAGACATGTATGGCATTGCTTGGTGGGTAAGGGTGAAAATGTCAAGAGATTATTATCAAATGTCCAGTTACATCAGCCTTCACCTTTTATTACATGTGATTCATCCGCTTGTTACAAAGTGGACATCCATCTCTGTTGTAGTTGCAGCTCACCTTTTGCTCCCACTGCAAAATTAACTGGTGGCCACTCTGGAGTTCTGAAGAGTGCAGGAAATTCTTCTGAAAAAAAAAAAAAGGGCTTAACCAACAACTAGTCAAAGGGCAATACTGCGCAGCAGTATGATCTTAATGCTGACCCATTGAATCCCCACAGAGCTTGACGGATGTAAAAGTGCAAGCCAAGGCTGTAGGCGGATTGTTGACTGGTGATAAGGTCAGTAGGAACTGTTATGTAGGGGTTGTATTGTACTTTTCACCTGTTCAGAAGTGAGAACGCCTTGTTGCTGTTGCCCTGTCAGTGCCCTCCAAATGTTGCTGCTGTATTCCCAGAGGACTGGGTTAAAGATGTACAAACCAAACATGTGAACATTTTCACCTGCCCTTGGGTGCAGTAAACGGGTAGGATGTGATATGTGCAAAGACGTATATTTTGGGGATTGTTTTGCATCATGATAAAAAGTCTATGATCTCATATATCTACCACTGCTGAACCCTCCAGTATACAGCCATTATTGTTAAAATGTCAGTTTTCGTTTTTCTTTTTTTAGATCAGATTAGCTTTTCCGTGCTGGCTGCTTTAACATGTTGAGGAAACGCAGCTCCGACAAGCTCCGGAGTTTTTGACGCTACTATAAATGACCCAAGAGTCCGGAGCGTCTCCCTTTTCACGTCTGGTCAGCCGCGCTGTAAGGAAGGCATCAAAAATAAAAGATCCCTTCTGACTGTGCGCGTGTGTGTGTGCGCGTGTGAGTGTGAGTGTGTGTGTGTGTGCACCCAAGAAAACAGGACGAGACTTCGCCTGCACCTCGATCTGCTCTGCATCTCTCCACCCGGACCGCAGTGGATACAGCCGCCTGTACAGGACTACATCTATAACACAAAGATGTAAAGGTTTTCTTTTTTTTTTTTTTTTTGCTTTTGTACGGCGCGTGTTTCACAGGTCCGTTTGTTTGTAGGAGCACGCGCAGCACTACGCGAAATCACTGCCTGGCTTTCTCTTTGCGCTCTTCTCTCACTGGTTAGTGGGATGCAGGATACGCAGCATCACCGGCATCGTTAACTAAAGCGAACACTATATATAGACCTCCCAGTTCAGCAGGCCTGTCAGATTTTAAGGCAACGTAAGTGGGTGAAGACTAAACGGGGAAACAATAAAACTCTCCGCCGGTGTGGCAAGGACTGCTTTTTTTTTTTTCGGCGGATAAAGTGCGGAGGGGGTAGTCTATTTTCCAAATGTTTGTGATGTGGATGCTTTTTTTATTCACCGGGCGCTCCAATGCCTCATTGAACAAGAAATGATTTGGTCATCTAAAGATCAAATGGAACTGGACTGCTGCTGATGTTCTCGGTAACGCGCTTTATCTGCCCGTATACCTACCCGATGAGTCTCAGTGTGTGGAGGGAGGCGCGGAGCAACATCCAGAGAACTATACAGGGGGGAATTGAGTTACATTGCAATAACGCTTTTCTTGCAAAGAGACGTATCTCTGCGGCCAGGAGACGCTCGCAACAAACCAGAGCTTAACATAATTTTATTTCAGAACTGGACAACATTGGATAACCAGGTAAGACAAGTTTTTAAAGTCAAAATACGCAATGCATTAAAGAGCCTATTGAAAGCTTAAAGGCTTTAATACCAATATGGCAAAGAGAGGGGCTGCGATGCCTCAGTCACTGACTACACCGCCTCTGTGTTTTTGCTAATGCTTCACCGTGCAGCAGAAGTTGTGACACTGATTATGTGTTTGCTAATGGAAAATGTTTAACGGGTCTGATTCGGACTCCAAACACTCGCTCAGAGGGATTTCTGCGTGGTTGTATTCGCCAGTTGCGTCGGTAAACTCCGTCCGTAGCCTAATTGTTGCATGTTGGGCTGAACGGAAAAGGGGTCCTCGTGCAGCAGAGACGGGAGCCCGTGCAGCGGCTCAGATAGCGGCTCTCAATAAGGGCTGTCGTATCGTTAATTGGTAGGAGGCAGAGGACGTTTCAGTCATGACGGACGATGGGACTACTTGCAGTGATAAAGGGTTCAGTTTAAGTGGAGTGATACAGATAAAGTGTAAATTCATTAAGGGAATCATCGATCGCCGTTGTGGTTAAGTGTTGGTTTAACACCTTACGTACGTTCAGTTTGGACTTTTACTGATTGGATTTTTTGCTATTAGGCCACCATTAAAATAATGTAATAACTGAACGTGCTGTTTTGTAGTGAGATTTAGTGAGAGGATGGTTTGGGAAACATATTACCAAATATTTCGCACCACCTTGTGGTTCAACTTAGTGTCTGTTTTTGGCTCCACACTAGCATCCACAGGTTTTTTGCTGTGGATGCCAACCTAAACAAACCCCCTTTTTGTTAATTGTGTCAATTACTTCATGTTATTGAAGCGCAGTGGGGAATTAAAATGTGGGCAGCTTTTGACCGCCAGGCAGCAAATGGTCATCGCCATAAAAGAAAAACGGCAGATGTGGGCTATTTTCAGCAGATGCTTATTAAAGACTGCAGCTGAAAACGTAACTGTGCAAATTATCCTTGTTAATATGACATATACACCAAATAAGACTCAATTATAGTTTCTGATTTACAAATATCAATGATATTTTTATTTGAATGTGATATTTTTATTGGGGTTTGGCTTCCTCTACCTGGACTTTAAGATTGTTATATTTGATCATTTATTTTCTTGTGAACATTTTTTATTTTTACTTTGCTTATTCTCGTTTTTTCAGCAAAATAGTTTCAGCGAACTTTATTGGCAACTCCATGGTAACCACCTGTTAGTGCGACATTGGTGCCAGCTGATGCTTGCATTTCTGCAAGCTCAAGTACTTTGTGTTGATCCCAAAATGAATAAATACTGCATCCATAAACACAAACTGCTTTGCTGGCTGTCTTGTTATAAGTCAGATATTTGCTCGACAGAATCAATTTCATGTTCATAAGTTTATCTGCAGCTTGGCAATTTGGGTTCAGGCAGTATATGATGCCAAATGCTACAGCTGATGCCCTAAAGGAACACTTCATTTTTGACAACTAATTAATTGGAAATGGTGATCATCTTGGCTTGGCTAGATGCCATTATGGATTGGGTGCCTATCAATAATTTATTGTCTTGTAAATCTAGTTCTGGAGTTTTTGTTCCCAAGCAGAGAGTGAGTTGTGAAAGCCAGCAGTAGGCGACCAACATGTGGGGAATAGTCATTAGGATGACCTAATTAACAATAATTTGCTGTTACTGGTCAATCATTTACACAAATTACAGCTGCTGCCAGATGGTTCAATAAAAAAAAAGGAATAAAACTACTTTCTTATTACACCACAACTTAAACTGCCACTCCATGACAACCGACCAAACTCATCCCACGGAAGGTACAAAAAAAAAAAGAAGATAAGTTGACCTTGAGTTAAGATAATTTAATCAAGCTGTTCTTTCCTATATGAAGTTTTGGACTCTACATGTATGAAAGTCAATTGTATCTCTTTATGTAATGTAAGGCTATTAGCTAACATTGAGCAAATTACATCTTTAACCGTTCTGAAATGAACCAAGATCACTTCAGTCATCATATTATTGAATTGCTCAGGCTGATAATAGAATATGAACAATCACTGAGGCTTGTGATCGACGTTGATAAAATGCATGTCGGGTGCATGATTAGGACATGATCCAGGCTGGAGGGGTAGTGTAGTCCAGCCCCATATTTCCGTTTTATTCAAGGTTGTCTGAACACACCATAAAAGTGTGTTTTCACTGATTGGAAAAAAACAATGACAACTAATGCGACTGAAACGACCGACAGGTGGTCAAGGCATTATTAAGACATGTTCGCTTTAATTTAGTTTCCTGCTTGTGTTGAAGAATAGACTAGCATATACCTAATTTCTGCTTCATTTTAGTACATATATACATTAAAGTACAAGTTATATGTACATAGGCCTACCGTCGGTGAGGTTTTATGTCCAAGTCTGTTACCCCAGTAGTGGTGTTTATTTCAGTTCGTCACCTGCAGGCTAAAGTTTGTCAGCTGCATATTGTAACTCCAGATTCTATGAGTATAATCGTAGCCATCAAGAGCTGTCGCTACTGGGTTCCACCCTGCACGCATGTGCAGACGTGAAGAGTTTTTTTGCGTCCTTGTGCCCTGCACAGGCCTATCATACGTTGGCATTTGAGACATATAAAGGCTGTGCAACCACAGATCTGCTTTCAATTTAGTCCAGCATCTTCAGCTGGAGGGCCCAGAGTTTAGAGGGCTCATAGAATAGAATCTGGAGTTACGATATGTAATACGCGTTTTATTTCGTATAATCTTTGCCCCTCTAAGACCTGTCGCTATTTGGTTAAGGGCGAAGCTGATGTAGTCTATGCCCCTATGGGACACCAAGGTCCACAAGCAGACAACATACACCAGTTCACAAACTGTAGACGGCATTTAAAAAAGGGCAGGAAGGCAGTGATTGTTCCATAGGTTAACATGGCTATGTTGGGTTGGGCTGCATTTAAAAGCTAAAGCTAGCAAGATGTAGTATTTATAAGCATTCACTTTGAAATAAGGTGTTGACATGTCATAAGCCATTCAACTACATCAACTTGCTTAGATAAATTAGACTGAACAAACTTACTTGTAATGACTATGTAATATACATGCATTATTATTAGTAGTAGTGTCACTGTATTATTAATCAATATAAGTCACCTGGCTGCCTTTTCTGAAGTCAAAGCAGGAGAGAGAGAGAGAGCTCAACTTTTATGAAGGATATTAATTGTATTCATGATCAAACAGATTTGAATGCAATGAACTGACTTACTGTTGCGCATTACTTCAACAGCAAATGTTCAACTACAATTTCTTGTCCTTATTTGAACATTACATTTGTAAGATGATTAAATTATTCGATTGTACTAATATGATACAATTCAAGCAAAAAGGAAATGCACATATTGCCCAGCCCTATTTAGACTAAACCGATAACACGATGTATTCATATTGCTTTCTATTAAGAGCCCTTTGAGGCGGATTTTGGACATTGAGTTGTATAAATTAAATTGATTTGACTCGCTGAAGACATGTAGTGCCTTCTATTATCTTTAAATGCATTCTGTTGATATTACTTTTAACAAACAATCCACTCACAACAGAAAATGTTTAACTTGCTTTTAGTACTGTAGAAAGAGTGGGTGGAGCAGCAGCAGCAGCTCAGCACAGCTTGACATAACTTCAGCATGAGGACAGCACAGACTGGGCTAGTCCAAGTCCCAGACCAGCAGACCTGTTCTCAGGCATGAAAGGGGCTCAGTTAGCACAGGCCTACAGGTAAAGTCTCTGTTACAGATGTTCAGGCTTTTTGTCTTCTGGATTTTTACGCAATATGCCAGATTTCTATTTTTAGTGGCACTAGTAAGGCTTAATTGTTCAGTTTTTGTGCTGCAGGTGCAACGTTTGGTAGATTATATGCCATTTGGTGCAAATTTCATTTCCATGTACTCCTGTTCCTGTGTGTGAATTGCGTGCCTCTGTTTCATGGCTCCATTACTGAGATGGGTGGAGTGGTGCTGCTCACTTTACTCCCTGGCTGCTGTTTATTTGTTTGTGCGCTCCAGAGTTCACTTGTTTGCAATACTGTGCGTTATGAAACGGTTACACAGATAACAGAGCACAATGGGGCATTGTTGACAGCTGGCGTACCTGGAGCAGTAGTTGGCAGTTAGGTTCAACCAAGGGCCAGTTTTTCAGCACATTTTGGGCCAATGATGGTTTATTGTTGCAGCAGAGACACAGATCTTTATGATTTTACTTATTTTGTTTAATGAGTATTGGTCATTTTAATTCACTTGTTAATAGCCCATACATTAACCTGCCTGGATGTATAGTTCCTGTAATATGCATAGATTTACAGCCTACAATAAGCAAATGACTGGAAGTGGATTATGCTTTATATTGTATATACTGTACTTTATTATTTAAAAATTCTACTATATATATATATAGTATATGGTGTGTGTGTGTATGTGTGTGTATATGTGTATATATATTTATATATACAGTATATACACATACCAATCATTAAAAATGTTCTTCGCATCGCCCTATTACTCATGTTGCAGGTTGGCTCTTCCCTAAAATAAGATAGTACACAGATTTTTATAAAGATGAATATTTCTGATTATGATAATTCAGTTTCCTTCTACTTCATACTGTTTTTATTACATGATTGCTAGTAAATGACACTTAGAAAGTAAGGGTAAATACCTCATTTGCGCAAACCTAAGCCTGCTATTAATCATACACAATACATCTGAACCACAGTTCTGATAAGATTTGTAATTCTCATAAATATTTAATTTGCGGCGTATATTGTTGTTCTTAGTGTTGGATCTTAAATTGTCTTGCTTTAGTAATAAGTGCAGCCTGTTTTGTCATCCTTCAGAGAAACATCCATTAAATATATCTCGATGTACAAAATAATTAATCATGTGCACTGAAATAATTATGGCAGTTCGAAACTTTACTAAGCATGTGTTCAGCGAGTGTTGCATGGTATACTAACACTAGAAAAGTATCG